TAGTAAACCCTGGCTTTTATGAGACCTCTCTCCCTATTCTAGTCACTCTCTGCCTTTCTGATGCCTTTACATCCCTGCGTCCACAAATAATTGTTACTTGGCTATAGATTTTAGGATTCTCCTTTCCAGCGTCTTTCTAGCCTTCTTTTGCTGTCCGGTGGAGGGAGAAGAAAGCTAATAATATTTTTCTTTGGGGGTGGGGAGGTGGTGAAAGAGCTTCTCCCCCTCCTTTCTTGATTTTTCCCCCTCCTGATATAGCCAAATCCATGAAACTCCCTGTCCCTTTGTCACTATGGGGGCTTCTAATCACTTCATATCGATTTTCTAACTCTTTTCATCCCGTTGAAGACACATCTTAAAACACTCCAACCCAGAGTGTGCTCTTTGCTTTATACACACTAATAAAATGATTTACCCTTCTCTCTGCGCTCTCCTCACAGGAGAAAATCGTTCAAGTCCCGGCTATTTGTGTGTGATCAGTAAATATTTAGTGTGGTGACATCTTCAGCTCCTCTCCTGATCAATACCCAGACCAACAGGAGGTTCCCATTGTCCAGGAGGAGACTTGCTGAGCTCTGTTTAGATGAGTTCTTCTCTTCCTCTTCTGGGCTCTGATTTATGTTCGAATGGAACCAGCAAGGGGAAGAACTTGCTTTTTAAAATGTCTTTTAAACCTTTTTACTTTTGACATTAAGCCACCTATGCAAGGGCTGAATTATTCCATGAGAAGGGAGGACTCAAGCTCTACTCCCTGCTGCCTTTTTCCCTTTTCTTCCTCTCTGATCTTCTAACACTTTCAAAGCCTTGGTATAAAATGGATATCTTCAGAACCACCTTGCAAAATCGTTAATTTCCTTTTTGTAAGAACCACCCCCCTCCCCCTACATTTCCTACTTTTTATCTAATTCTTCTGTTGGGAATTAAGAAAGGAGGGAGGAAAGAAGAAGAGGGGATAAGAGATCCAGAGGTCCAAGAATCCAGTCCAGGGCTGCTTCAACTTTGAATAGCCACTCTTCCATACCCCTACTTCTACCACTAACCTTTCTGTCCCACCCACCCCTATCTCCAGCAAACATCTCCTGAATCGACTGACAAACTAGAAAGGGTAGGTGTTTTAATTTCTAACTCAGGGATCATCACCACTCTCAGCAGAGAAGCTAAGGTTCACTCCAAGGTGTTCCATCCATCAACACTTTTTTCTAAGTAATGGCAAAACAAGGCTATAGTGTGGTGGATGATAAAAAGGCTACATTATCCCTCATTTCTCTCCTCTCCTCACCCTGATCTACTTCGTGTCCCCCAACCTCTTCTCCCCCCACAAAAAAAAAGATCCTCTTGCCAAGGAAGTCACTGTTGGACTAATGGTCTAGTTGCCCCCCCCCCCACCCCGTGCTTAGCCTCATCGAAAATAGTGCACAGGGCTATAACCTCTCCAGCGCTCTTCAGGGACACTTCAACCACGACCAGTAAATGGTCTGAGCTGTGATTCTGGAAGGAAATGAATCACTGTATATGTATCTCAGAGTCTAGGGATAGAGTACGGGGGGGGGGGGCCCCCGCAACACCTGAAAGGCAGAAACACCCCCACCATCCTCTCCACCTGTTAGCTGGCAGGACAACAGGCTTAGCCTCTGTACATCACTTTCATTCACCCTCTGCAGGTCTGAAAAATAAATAAATAAATAAATAAATAAATAGATAAAAGGAGACTAAGGGGAAGGGGAAAGGTATGAGAGTCTTCAAGGGATAAGACTTACCCCTTCTACAATCCCACCTTTTGTTCTAGAAATGTTTTCTAAAGCACCCTTATCTCAAGAATATATCTTTATACTAATGCATACTTAATTGGTCTGTCTTGACTGTCCATATAAAACAATTTAATTAGGGTGCTTTCTTGCTTTGGAGAAAAAAAAAATCTGCCCAGCGTTTATTGTATTTAGCACCAATACAGGCAGAAAATGTCGCACAAGTTTTTGGTTGAAAGAGCACCTCTGTGTCCATTGAAGGGCGTTGATCCGAAAAGACAGAAAGGACAAGTAAAATCGATTTGAAGCGACCCTCTCTGTCCCTTTCACACCATTCAGAAACTCCATTCCTTCTAAGACAAAGACCAGCGCCTTGGGAATTCTCAGGAAAAAGAAGAATCCAGTCCCACAACCATACAGCACTTTTAAAAAAATACTTAATATTGCTCTTATTTAAAAAAACAAAACAAAACAAAACACTACATTGTGTTTTGTGACCACTACCCTCCAACCCCTCCCCCCCTTCATATTTCACAAGCCTTCTCTTCTCAATCACTGGGTCATTATGGTTATTAAGATTGCAGCCCAGGTTTCCAACTTGGTCATTCGCAGGCTTTTAGAGTTAGGGTAGTCCTCACCTTTGACCCCGGGGATCAGAGTGGCAGCTATCACTACAAGTTGGGCCAAAGTTTAAAAAAAAAAAAAAAAGAGGGAATTTGTCTGACTCTTGGGAGATTTACCACTTTACCCTTTCTTTTTCCCTTTTGAAATGAATTACTAACTCCACCTTTGATGGAGATCTAAAGCTCCCCAAGGTTCCTACGCTGTGCCTCAGTGAGTTCCCTTGTAAAACTGGTCCAACTAAACCCCAGGTTATCACCAGAGAATGACCGACTTAGTCAACCTGGAGAAAAAAGCGATGCTCAGCTTCAGGGCAGGAACCTTATGGAGATGGTTGGGGGAGGGAGGGGGAGCAGGAGAAAGCAGGGGATGACATCATTTCGACCTGAACTATAACCTCAATGCTTGTCATCACACCTTCATAATTCTCCCCGGACCTCCTGGGGGTAAAAAGGGAGGGGCAGAGGTGTGGCTGGGAGGGGGGAGGGGTAAGAATGGGAGTGGGAGTGGAAAGACCCGGGAATTACAGAAGTGTGCTCCATTGGAAATAGTTCACCACCTTTTCAGAAACATTTCCCCCCACCCATCCGTTTGGTATACTGATTATGCAAACCACAAAGAAAACTTTTGTAGACCATATTTATGGTATTAATGAATAGTTTAAAAAAAGATTTACACTTCTTATGATCAATATTCTGAGTTATTTTCCTCAAAGTATATAATTACAGTGTCTTCATAGTTTTCATCATTGTTTGAGGTGGCAAAACCATTTGTAATTTTCATTAGCCAGTAAACATGTAATTAACATTCAGCACTGTGTTTAACTTAATTCCTGTTTAAGACAAGGACAAGAAACAGTGGAGGAACGTTTGTTCCATTTGTCAAGTCTGACATACATCTTACCATAACAGTTTCCTAAAATAAAAGATCCATGTTTCACCATTATTCTTCTCTTAAAACAAAACAAAAAAAAATCCATTAGTTAAAACTGTATTAGACTGCCAAACGCAATATAATTTAGTCTGAATTTTCTTGATCTATTATATTAGTGGTTCTACATCAGGTTTTTTGGGGGGAGGGGTGATAGGATTATTGGGTATTCATTTTATGGTCATGGAATGGACATCCTTCTATGTCTCTCAAATGAATCATCAAAAAATAAATATTTCCTATTTTGTGAAGTTACAAAATGGAGGCAGGGAGAAAAATTATCCCAAAAAGGGGGGGGTAATCTCTTTGGGGGCTTGAGTTAAGAGCAGAAATGAGTGTTCAAACGGATTCCTCTGAAAAATGTTGACCCCCATTTAAAGTTCTATCTTTGATCGAGGGAGAGGGGGATCTGCCACTCTGCTGTGATGTGTTTTCCCCCCAGCTCAGTTTTTTTTTTCAAACTTGCTTTAGGATTAGGCTACATCCCTCCCGACCCCAAACAGTGTAATTCTGCTGTGCCTGTGTTCATCTTTCTTTGCAATATCGCTTATAGTTGTTTGCGGTTTTCTGCTGAGGCTCGAAATCATTTCATACATCCTACGACTAAACTCATTAAGTTGGGAGATTTTTTCAATTGGACGGGTGTTTTTAAAGTCTCGTCTTTCCAGCCCCAAACAAGGTGTAGCAACGTACTCTTCCTTCTAAGGAATGAGATGAGAGACAAGGATCACTCAAGGCATCTCCTACCTTGGGTTTGGGGGATTTTTCTTAAAGGCGAGGCGTGCATTCCTCAGCAGCTATGTACAAAGCTCCCTGAAACCTTGTCGGTGTAAAGTTAGTGTTCAGTATTTTCCAAGGCTGAAAGCTAATAATACATGGAAGGCACTTCCCTTAGGTTGAAGATCTTTTCTTTCACCTTTCCTCTTTTTCCCTGAAGGCTATAGCCTACTTTTTATCAGTTTGCACAATCGCTTAGATAAATACCAAGAAGGAGATTCTCTTTAATTACCAAAGACACATCTTTTCAGGGGGCAAACAAAGCGTTTATTTCACCTGCCAAACTAAAGGAGAGTTATTCCAGTTTAGAAGGAAGATGCAAGCGGTTTGGGACCTTGAACAAGGCAAATATGGTTTTGGTATGTTTACTTATAGTTTTTTCTTCTTTTTTTTTTTTACTTTTTTATTGTATTGTGTGTGATTTTATATTACTTTGTGCTTTTTTAAAAACCTGTTTGCTAACATATGTGATATGGCTATTAATGGGTTTGAGGGGGTTGGGGAAGGAGAAGGGAAGTAAATCCAACGCATTGCATTGCTGTATTTTATTACATGTGTCCTGAGGTGGGGTGGGTTGGGGGTGGGGGACAAAATTGCAAAGCTGCCAAAATATGATTGTCTTAATAGTAAGTACTATGCTGTATAAACTCATTTCCTACAATAATGCAAAAATAAGAACCAATCCACTAAAGCTTGTATTTCCAGGCATCAGACTACTCGGTTTATGTAGCAAACGACGTGCCAGGCTTGAACTAAGTATCAAAATTTACTGTTACATTTTAAACTGCACTTAATTTTGCAACCTTGTGCAACTGACAGCGATACTAGAAAAAGTCAAGCCTGGCTGGGTGTTATCCGCAACGCCAGCTCGAAAGGAAAGCTTTCTGTTCAAGCTAGTAGTACAATTGCAAGAAGAAGGGTACTCACCATCGGGAGGTGTGGTGAAGTTTGCTTGCAGCTTTAAAGCAAATATTTATCTTTTTGCTCTTTATTGCAACCGCGCGGATCTGACTTAAGAAGCAATGTTCTGCTCTGACAAAACATTCAAGGAACGGATCCTCATTTTAAAAAGAGAGAGGGAGAGAGGAAGAGAAAGAGAGAGAGAGAGAGAGAGAGAGAGAGAGAGAGAGAGAGA